GTCTAAATCTCAGGAAGTCGCGCATTTTTAAATCATAACGATCGCCAAGTTAGCTCGCTCTGCGCTAAGCACAAATAAATCCGCGTCCAAACAAAAATTCGAGACTCAGTACCGATACTCTAAGTAAAATTATTTCGTGTCTGTATTAAAACAAAAGGAAAAATGCCATAGCACCCTTATTTTAATGCTTTTGCTATTTCAGAAGAGGCCGCCGCGGTCAAGGTACATTCATGGCGACATGCCTCCAGTTTTTCCAAACGGATGGATTCCGGTTCTCCTGTCGTCCGAGCTCAAGATCAACGAAGTTAAATCCATGAAAGTTGTGGGTCAGTGAGCTATTAAGCACAAAGTTAACTTTTGTTTTTATCGTTGTCACCTCTCGGTTCTTAAGTAACGAGACGCAGACGAGCCCGTTTCTCCAAAGTTTGTTTCGAGTGCTATAACCTCAGTCCAGCGCAATGAACCACAAGTATAAAGCTAAACTATAGGGACATCACGACTTTACACCCTATGATAGAGCAGCATCGCTGCACATCCTATGTCGCTTCCATACTTCATTTCATCTTCTGTTGAACCGCAGCAGAAGGCTAGGGGCCTTCACAGCCAATCAAGCGCTAGCCTAGAAGTGACGTCACCTGGCTCCTCGGGTGTGTATCAGCGAGCGGGTTAAAATGGCGCTGGTTGCAAGTCTGATGCGGACGCGGTGTGGATAAAACCTTTTCTTTTTTTATGCTGTGTTCAAGGAAATTCTGACTTTGCGTACTTTGCTCTATTTACTGCACAAGTTCGAGTATCTTTGATGATTGTGGCTGAAACCTCTTGACGTATCGAGGATGACGCGCAGCTGTGCAGTCTCTATTTCGTAACCGGGATCGGTGGGATTGCACGGTATGCTATCACAGATGCCTTGCACGTCGAGCGGAAGCAAGGTCCACAGAAACGCTTCGCTTCGCTTATTGTGCAACACGGAAAATTATAGACTTTTCCGTAACGCAACAGACCAGGTAGGCCTGGACAATGAAACGTCGACTCCAACCTAACGCCCTTGCGAAATGTCTCGCCTGCATGCACATGAAGACCCTAGCATCTGTGTCGAATTAAAAAGGGCCGATGTCGACTACTAACTCAGCTAACACTAGACTACAGAGAGCTGCCGAGAAGTGACTGACGAAGCACGCGCGGCGGAACGAAGCTATTTTTGTCATGTTTGGCAGCGCCAATAAAGGCACACGGCACTGACGAATAAATGCCAGTGGCAGCATGTCTGGTGTCACACCAGACATGCTGCCACTGGCACGTTTCTTCCGCATTCACCACAGCTCAGACGTTCTTCGAATTTCGTTCTGTACGATTCGCTCGGAGGCTCAGAGCGAAGTTTGTAGTACACGTTTAGCACAATTTGCCACTCTTCTCTTGCGGCGAATCGACGCAAGACCAGTTCAATGCAAATTACGCCCCCCCCCCCCTCCCCTCAAAAAAAAAAAAAAAAATCTGGACGCGAGTTGGCATAGGAATTACAGGAGGCACCGGCGGACACCGGTCTGCCGTTCCGCAGCCAGTACGGCGAACGAAAATGTGAGAGCAGTTGGCGCATTTACATTTGTTAGGTGACATTTCAAATCATAGTGAAAAATCATTTTAAAGTTCAAAATATTTGTTTTAATAAATATCTAGCTCGGGTTCAGTTTCTACATAAAACCCTTTTAATGGAAAACTTTCATTTTGAAGAAATCTTCCTTTGCAGTACGTACGTCACATCGCCCACGGTGCCATGAATGTCGAATAAACGAATCTGACGGCAACGACAACATTTTTAACCAGAAGTCCAGTTTCTCCAAATATGCTAGATATATGTATATACGTATATTAAGGATCACGCTTGAGACATTTGTTGCAACATTATTTATGTATCACTGGTACGAAACACGAACATTACGTTCAGGACAAAGGCTACTCGCCTTGTACTCAAAGTCTTTGATGCAGTACAATGCGATGCGTAAGAATGCCCTGCCGGCGCCTCCTGACAACCCCTGGCTTTCCGCTGCGAAACGGTACAAGATGAAACGAAGAATAGGAAATATTTCTTTGGAGTCGACGTCGTGCGGTAAACCCCTCTAATGAAGAAAATCTAGCCCGATCTGAGTGACGGATTGTTATTGTTTTGGTATTTTGAAGGTCAAATTTAACTCAATGTTTTACCATCGCAAGTTAGTAGACGCCACTGCAAATGATTAAAGACATGTAAAAAAAGAAATAAAAGATGGAGTAGTGTTCGTACATTGACCTGTGGCACACAATTCAATATACAAATGTTTTGATGTGAATTTTACGGCCGTGCAAATTACGATAGGGAAACCATGTCAATCTCCGCGCATCTTCGAAATATTCTACCTCCAGAATAAAATTAACTACGGCCATATCATATATACGTGAATGCTCCTTCCAAGCCTTTCACGCATATTTTTTACATAACAAAATATAACCCTGACAATCACCAGCCGTGGAGACACACAGTAGTGAATTCAGTCCGCAATATCGAGGTGTGCGCATGCATATATTGCGTCAATTTTCAGTTGCTTTTAACGGCAATAACAAATGCCCCAAAGAAGACATTTACTGAAGACGACCTCAAGCGCATCTACCTCTTCTGCGCTCCACAGAACGATTGCTTTCTGCGCCGTTGCGAAAAGTGCCCAAAAACGCAGAGCATCTCGCTGCAGTCGCTTCATCTCGACGAAGACGAAGAGATCTGTTTCGCGCTATGTTACGCTGGTGAACTCGTCAAAAAGGTTATGGACACTTCTGCCTTCCTGCGGCAATAGGAGAGCGAAAAGTATATGAGGCATTCTTACATCCTTGACCTTGAACGAAGCCTGATACATGGCACAAGAACCGCCTTACCACCCAAGGCAGTGATGTTCCACTTCGATTTTGCGGAAAAATGGACAGTACTCTTTCCAACCGAAGTGCAGAGTTTTCATTGAAAAAAAACTCAAGTGTCTCTCTCCACAAGTGTGGTTACGTCCACGCATGACACGCAAAGCTTTGCCGTTGTCACCGATGGTACACGACACATGACACAGCTCACGCTCTTCTAGCCACATAGGCCCTAAAAGAGTATGTTAATGTTCATTTCCAAGTCTTTTTTGAAATAATTTTTGTATCAGACGGAGCGGCGGCGCATTTCAAGAATCGCTTCCAATTCCACGAATTGTCTCGGAAGCCGCACTCTTCGGCAAGATGGATCTCTTCAGCCACTGGACACGGAGAAAGCGCTTGTGATGAAGTAGGTGGAAGAACCAACGCTCACCAAGTTGAGATCTTCGCTCAACTCAACGATATCCACCGCTAAAGACTTTGTGGAAGTGCTACGTAAAAAAGTAACAAATGTCTGCATGTTCCCCCTGTCTGTGGAACGGGTTCGAGAGTTTCGTGCGGTAAAGCAAGCAGAGTGGACCACCATAAAACCTGTGAGAGGAATCCAGGCTTCTCATCTGTGGAATTCATCATATGCCGAGAAGCCGGATGTATACATGGCCACTCGCATAACTGAGAGTTTTAAGCTTATCTATGCATAGTTAGCGAATTCGCACAGTGGGGCCGTTTTGTTCCTGTGAATTGTAAGCAAATTAATGGTATTCCAGCTCAAAGTCGATTTTCGCGTCACTAATACTCAGCCCTTATGAAAAGAAAGAATTTTAATAATATAAAATACATGCCATAACTAACGCTCAAAACGTTTGGTGCTGTGCGGCAAAGCCGCCTTGACGAAGACGTCGGCTCGCTCCGAGTGAAGGTTTGTCGTAGCTTTCCCGCTTGGAGGTCATATGTTACTCAATCTTTTGCCATCACAGGTTAGTTCAAGTCACTGTAAAGTGCCACGGGGAGTTAAAAAAATAAAAGATGGAGTCTTTTTTTAAATATCGACGCCCAATCTTGCCACATTTTGAGAAATCAGCAGCATTTCCGCGTTAATAACAAGAAGACAATTAAGGGTGGGCATATAATTTTTACATATCCGTAAAGAATATTTGAATACCCGTATTTTGATATGTTTTGTGAAGTATTATGAAAGATGGTTTATTTGCAAAAAAAATTGTGAATATGTCTCTAAAACGCGTTTTTATGCCATGTTTGATATTTTTGTTTGCATAGAAATATTTTATTGATATTTTTAATGTTTTATGTATGTGTTGTATAGCCTCTGTAAAGCCTATTAAAAAAGTTATGGTGCCGTGAAAGATTCGATAAGGAAATGACGACTGTGCAAAGCAGCATTGTGAAATCTTCTCAATTTCCACGCCTCAAGTTCTCTATTTTATATCTCAGCGAAAAAAATTGTTACGGCGTTCATATCCAGCTGAATGTTCCTCCCAAAACATGGCTTTCATATATATTTTTAACAGAAATATCTAAAATATGACCCGGACCATCATTGCAGGATTGACGTGGAATAACCCTGCAGTCGATTATATGCCGCCAATGTTGATCACAGCCACGCGCTGGGGTTGGCAAAGCAAAGGACACGCGCTGAGTTCCAGACATTGTTATGGCTCGGCTATTATCGTCGTTGCAGCGATTGGACACGGGCCACTACCCGAATTCTTTTCGAGCTAGCAATTATCACGAGCCCAAAATCGAGTGCAAACGCAATGCTCGGGTTCAATCTATGAACCGCATTCAAATATCGTCATTGGGGTGTACTGCGATCCCCGCGTTACGTTATCAAATTCTGCAAAGGAAAGGTTGAATGAAAATGATCGCTTTTGTCCTTGAAATCACACCGCCATAAAGGGGTTTCTTGGCAAGTGGCGTTGCGTGCGAGTATCATTGAGTCCCACTAATGCCAGTAAGCTCGTGTAAAGTGAAAAAACAAAACAAAAAAAGAAACGTTCCAATTGAATATTATTGCATCGCTCCTTTAAAACTGCAAACCGCATCATGTCCAGGCTCATTGATGAAAATATTAAAGAACTTTATCGGTTGACTGTCTGCTGCAGGCGAAGAGCTGGTTGTGTTCCGGACTCAGGATGGCGTCGCCCACGTGATGGACGCCTACTGTCCCCACCTGGGGGCCAACCTGGGCGTCATGGGTCGCGTTGTGGGAGACTGCATCGAGTGTCCTTTTCACGGATGGAGGTTCAGAGGAGAAGATGGGGTTTGCACGCACGTGCCTTACGCAAGCAAAGGTGTGATTTTTATACTTCAGACATGGTCCTGTACGCGGCTTCTGCAGATTCAGCGCTTCGTGGCGTTCCTTCCACGTTCTTGCTTCAAAGGGTGCAGCAGAGTGTCATTTATACATGCTGTATAACTTAATTCACTGATATGCTACAGCCCGATTTACAACGTTGTTCGCGTCTGTCATGTAATGTGCAATGGTGCTTATGGGGAGTCATATGGCATGTTAATACCCTAAATGCGCACAGCATGCAGGGCTGTCGATTTAACAAATTGGATAATGCCCGCGACTTTATTGCACAATTTTTCCAACGGAGTGAGATTATATTTCTAAATATTAAAATATTTTAAGGACGCTCTGCCAATATAGTGACGACGTTGCTGAAACGACCGCGTCACTCTTTTGAGCTTCATTGGAGGCTGGGGTTCCGGAGCTTTTTCTGCCTCCAGTGTTGGAATCGGGCGAAGAAAAAACACGCAAAATGATTATATATGTATATATATATATATATATATATATATATATATATATATATATATATATATATATATATAACGCGCATGGGTGGCGGGGGGCCGAAGGCGTGGGTATAGATGAAGAAAAGAACCCGTAGTGAAAACAGCAACAATGGACGATTTAATATATATATATATATATATATATATATATATATATATATATATATAAGCTTGGTTTTTTTTTGCAATTTGTTTGAATTAATTTAGCCTCTGATAATGAGTGCCTATAATTTTGCATTTGCTATTGCATCATAATCTATAGCACCATCTATTAAAAAGTTATTTCAATATTTAGAGCTTAACTGCAATAATACTTAAAAAACAAGCGAGCTGGTGATGATTCATGGTATTAAAACCCGAGACTGAGCAACACAGAAGGGGGCGTCCCCTTCTGTGTTCGTCCCCTTCTGTGTTCCTGAGTCTCGGGTTTTATTACCATGAATCATTTAGAGCTTATTAGCCCTTTAATATTGACGTCTATCCTCTCATTTGATGTATGTCGGATCCCGACAAACGTGTAGTAAAAACGGTATTCATCCTCTAGTCACCTCCCCTTCGGACCTCTTTTTTTATTGTTCGAATTAATTTCCTTCACCTTGTACATAGCCCTACTTTCAGAACCGCATCAAGAATACATCCATTCAAGTAATTATTCCCATTCAGTCACTTCCTGACTTGTTTGATATCCTTTCTTACTTTTTGATCTCCTATCTCATTCCTTCTTTACAAACAGCTCCTGCATTCGTGAAAGCTAAGACCTGGATCTCCAAGGAAGTCTACGGTTTACTTCTGGCATGGTACCATGCGGACGGCGAAAAGCCTACATGGGACGTGAATGAACCCGATGAGATCACCAGTGGGCGGTGGAGGCGAACCGCGTTGTACGAGAAACAAATCCATGGCATTATGCAGGACATCGCTGAAAACGGAGCAGACGTCAACCACTTCAGCCACGTCCACAAGGCGTCAGCCTTTGCAGGACCTAAAGAATACCAGCGCTTTGCAAGCACCTCCTGGTTACGTCGTGCCATGACTTTCGAGTTTGACGTCAAATGGTCTGAGCACGATTTCAAGGTTCTTGTTAGTATGGACAATCGAGTGAAAATCTTTGGCTGGACGGCTCTCTCAACTCATACTGACTTGTGGCAGCTAGGACCGGCCTTGACTGTAGCGCAGACCACGAGCTCATTTGGCAATCTCTTTTACGTCATCTCCCTCACACCACGTGGCCCATTGGACATCAGCACCGTCATCCAGACTTACGATGGTCGTAGCTTGTTTTGGCCAATCCGGAGGTTGATGGAAAGCGCTACTTCAACCATTGTAAGAACAAACAAATCTTTTATCGCAAGGAATAGTGCCTCTGTTTGATGAAGATGACATGAAGTCGTTCTACACAGTTGATCAAGTGTTTAACGCCCTTTTTGCGATAGGGCAGATAGCGATCAATTCAGCTCGTATATTAAAATTTGTTCCGAATCAGTTGTTTTTTATGATATCCTAATTCTCGTGAAAACTCGACATATCGTTTATTTTTAAAGAGAAACCTAGTATGGAACGCTTTCGAGTCGCTCCATATCCAGCAATAGATTTATTAATTTGTGGCGGTTAAAGACGCTCTAATTGTCTCGTCGCATTAGCCATAGAGTTACCCCTTTTTGTTCTTCCGAAATTAAAATAAGTATATTGGTGGCCCCCCGGCAATATTTCACAATACCACTCATTGGCAAGTGTGTTTCTGCTAAGCCAGTCGATGAAGATCATGTTTACAAAGATATTTTTATCAGGCTACAGTCACCGACAATTTAAGAATTACAGGTTGTGGCGAGTCCCTGACGTCTTTTCAGCATTCTGCGGTCAATAAAAATTGCGGCGTTACGCGCTAAGAACACAAAAAAAACAAATCACAAAATCAGGAAGCATGGAAACAATAAGTCACGCCCTGCGTTTCATAGCAGTTTTTCGCTCTAGTGCTCGAGGTCCCACCGATGCTTCAGCTATTCTTATATTGGCAGGTATGTTCGTGCTCTTTGCGGTTTTCAGTTTTCTGGAATGCCTGCAGGCTTAGCCTCAACATCACGTGCTTGCTCAGAACAGGAATAAGAGTACAGTCGCTGGCGGCTTAAGAACCACAGGGAGTGGCTAATTAGTAATTACTTGCACGCTTCTTGCTTTGTGATTCGTTCTTCGGCGTTCTTAGCGCCTAGTGTCGCAATTTTATTGACCGCAAAGCGATTAGAAGATCCTCGTAACTCAACAGGCACTGCTTTTCCTTATCTGTCAGTGACTTTACGGGTATATACTGAGAAAGAGGAAAAAGGTGAGTGCTCGCATAGACGCCAGAACGCAAAGCACTTAGTGAAATCTTTAGTAGGTAGACATAAAGCGTGCCGATTTTTTTTTTTCTGACTGTTCGACGCGCTTAAAGAGTGACTAAAGACAACGACAGCTAGCTTCACGTCTTCGCACTAATAATTTCAATCAGAGCTCGGTGTTCTGACGTTTTCACATGCAATCGTCTTCTCCACTTTCTCAGTTGCTACCCGCACAGGTACGTAAGTCCCGCAGAGGGAAACTGCCATACACTTCCAGTGAAACTACACGAGGACAAGGAAGGGGCCAAATCTGAACATTCGATTTTTTCGCTGCAGGTCGATCAGGATACTCTCATATGGGATCACAAGACGTTTCTCAAGAATCCTGGCCTGGTGAAAGAGGACAGTGCTATTAAAACTTTCCGGGAGTGGTACGCGCAGTTCTACAGCAGCAAGAGTCTCACGTGGCGGGATGTGAAGGAGAAGACACTACTCTGGTAAAGGTTCTGAAGAAGCTTCCTCGCGACTGGGCTGATTTGGTGCCCCCTAATCAAGCGTAAGCGCATGTGCTCTGGAGTTAAGGTTTTGTGTGATTGTATAACTGTCTGAACACATCGTATCAACTACGCACTCACGGTTCTTCTTTCAGCGAATTACAGGGCACTGTGCCCAAAGCGGATGCACGGTGCATTTTTTCTCCCTTCTCGCAGCCTCCAACTATAATACAAAATCCCAAAATCTGATGGCGTTATAATTTTACGAAATTTTTATTGCGAAATGTTACACAAGGGAAATACAGGACCCTATACCTAACTCACGAGAGCGCTTGCCTGGCGACCGTCGAAGGACGGTGCTGTGACGCAACACTCAAAATGCAACAGCCATAACCGGGTGCACGCTTGTTCAAAATAAAAATAAATCCGCCATTTTCATCTCACGTGGCACTGTCTCTTCCCCTGCCAGAAGGTTCGTCTGCCATATAGAGACGCCTTTGTAAACAAACCCACACGAGTGTCGCTTGTTGCCCCTAGTTGTATGCAGAGGCTGCATTTTCTTTGTGTATCGTAAGAGAAGGCCGAAGATCGTTTGTAGGTTGTGTGCACGGTACCTCGCTCAGTTTCTGTGTTGGGTGTAATGCATCACATACAACCGATCTAGCAGCCCTGCGTAACCTTGTGCATTGCCTATAATCCGTTTCACTTCAAGTTCGATGCAGACGACGCTACTATCTGATGAAGCCACTCGAGCAGCTCCAAAAGTTCATCGTCACGGTGCCCATCGCCTTTGTTGTTCGCTCTTGCCGACCAGACCGATCATGCACGGAGAATTTGGCGCGATCTGCACTTATCTCTTTGTGTGATTTGTTTCGCCAGTGAGAGCACATCCACTAAGGCCACGAACGCCGTGAAGATGCGCCCTTTTTGGCTGCGTATGATTGGTTCCGATGAATCGTGCTCCGGCTGCTGTCGCACTTTAAATGAAAAGGAGCAAAGGGCTAGGTGGGTTCGGTAGATGTATGTAAACCCAAGAACTTGAAAATGTCCGAGACTATATATTTGCACAAACCTCCGGATTGCGTTCGGCAGGGACGGGACATTCGAGGAGAATTGCTATACCCGGAGCGCGTGTGACTGCACCCTTCCAAACTACTAAAACCGGCTTTAAAAGTGCGACGAACTGCTCTTTAGAGGATGGAGAGCGGATTAGCTTGTAGTCAAAGAAGACTGGCGCAGCACCCTAGTGATGTCACGTCGCGGTGGAGTTGCGGTTGAATGGCTGTACCGCGTACCGTAGCACCACGGTGAAGTCCCGTCGCGGCCGTACAGCTGATGATCAATGTTGCCATCCCTCTAGAAGATTGGATTTTGCCGTAGACGCCCGAAACCAAACATTGACCCTTGATATTTATAAAACTACAGACAATATCGAGGAAAACATATAACTTTTAATTCAAGGACACTGCTTTAGTTCAAAACAGTCGTAATCCCAAATTAAAAAAAAAAAAAAAAAAACATTGACGGGAATTGTCTTTTAAGATTTTGCGAATCTGATGCAACAAAATAAAGGGGCAATTTAGAAATGGCAGCACAACTGCTAACCTAGGCTTCTTAATGAGCACCACAAAGCCGCCGCGCTGACGAGAACGAGTAAGGGGCAAGGACGTTAACATACTCTTAAACTAGTTTTACATATAATTTTACCTATGCCAATGGATTCGCATGGCTATAAATGTAGGATAAAGACGACCATGAGCGGTTTTGCACGTACGCACGAGTCCGTGCACGCCAAAACATGCAGTGTTCTGGTTTTACGAACCAGACAACGCCTGGGGTCCCTCTCGGCTTCCGTAACATTTTAGTGCCGAAACTCGAGAGTTTATCTGACTCGTGAGGCTGTTTCATAAATCCGGGGTTTCGGCAAAATATGTGAGGGGGACTTGAGACGTCGTCTCATTTGTCGCTCTAGCGAGGACAACTTGTAGATACAAAATCGCTCATTAAAATGCTACTGAAGAGGCCGCTGCAATGTAGAGATTGAGAGTTATTGTGAACTGCAGCAAAACGATATCGTTCTCAGCACACAAAGCATGATTTTTCAACCAGCCACAAAGTGACGCGTTCTTAAAGCCCTCGCAGAACTCCTTGAGAAGTTTGGTTACTTAACGCCATTTAATACTGTACAAACCGAACTCTTTCTTCAGTCTCTTTAGGCGCGCAACCGCTCTTGGGATGGAGCTGTCTCATTTGAATAGCTCGTCCTATGCCAGTTTTGGTGTTCAAACCTAGTGTCTCACTGATCATCCCAAATCTCACGCTACGTATTTCCAGCTCAAAATGAAGCAGACTCTTGGATTCAGCTGCAAGTATTCGCGATGCCAGCCCCCGTGCACTATGGGACAGTAATGTACCTCCTGGATGTAAAGTTGGATCGATATTCTCAACACTGGTCGTGATCGCCAAGGGTATAGCGTTGCTACTCTTAAGCCAGGGTCGCACCCCAGACTGAAAATCCTTGTCTGCAGTGCTTACTAGGAGCACACTTACTCAACTGTGCGTGTAATGTCTCTTACCCTCAGCAACTGCATGCGCGTGTTTCGACTAACTCCGAGACTACACTTCACTGGAGAGCCGGTGACATGGGACGAATGCAGCCCTTTATCCGACGCAGGTAGGGATTAGGCGCCATACTAACGAATCCATGTGGTGCCATTGTACGAGCAAGAACAATCCAGCAGGTCCTGATATGTGGCCTCATTGGCTCTCACAAAGTGACGACAACTTGCCCTGCAGATCACTATGACTTTTCCCAACATGCCTACCAATGGAAAAGGTAAGGCCAAAACTATCGTTTGTCCCTTGGTTACGCTGAATCACTACACACTATTCAAGCTACGAAACAGCAGCCTGACACGTGTTCTCCGCAGTAACGCAGGGGTGTAAAGGATTAAACGCAACGATTTTAGTCATCTCCATCTGTGTGAAAATTTAAAAAGAAAATGAAAGCCTTTTACAACTCCTGTAATGCCGAATCAGAGCGCAGCTCTTGAGGAGGAGGAGGAAGGGTACTGGGGTGGTGAGTAAAGTGACCTTGGGGGGGTTCACGTGACCTTGGGGGGGTCACGTGACCTTGTGGGAGTCACGGGACCTTGGGTGTCACGTGACGTCAGGGGGGTCACGTGACGATGGCGATGACGTAATCAGTGACGTCACTGATGACATCACCATTGATGATGACGATGCGGATGCCGGTGACGTCATCAGTGATGATGCGATGAAGATGAGGATGCCGGTGACGTCATCAGTGACGTCACCGATGATGTCATCAGTGATGATGCCGATGACGATCCGAATGCCGGTAACGTCATCAGTGACGTCACTGGACGTCATTAGTGGCGATGACGTCAACCTGGTGTCACGTGACCTCGGGAGGGTATCCTTAGGTCACGTGACCCCGGGGGGTCACGTGACCTGGGTAATTATCGTGACCGTCGTGAGGGTAACCCTAGTAGCCCTTGTGAGAGCAACTCTCGTGACCCTGGTGAGGGTAACTCTCGTGACCTTCGTGAGGGTAACTCTGATAACCCTCGTGAGGGTAACCCTCGTGACCCTCGTGAAGGTAACCCTTTTGAAGGTAACTAACCCTCCTAACCCTCGTGAGGGTGACGAGGGTTAGTAACCCTCGTAGCCCTCATGAGGGTAACGCTCATGAGATTAACCCTCGTAACCCTCACGAGGGTTACGACGATTACGAGGGTTACTCGCGGTGATGGCGACGGCGACGCCGACGGCGACGCCGCTCAAGCCGGGAACCAGCGCCGAAGAGCTGCGCTCTAAAAATGAAAGCCGTTTACAACTCCTTGTAACGCCGAATCAGAGCGCAGCTCTTGAGGAGGAGGAGGGAAAGGTACTGAGGTTCACGTGTTCTCGGGGGGGGGGGGGGGGGCACGTGACCTTGGTGGGCTCACATGACCCTCTTCCCAAGGTCACCTTGGGGTCACGGGGTCACGTGACCTCGGGGGGTCCCATATCCCCCCAGAGAAATGTTTCCGCTAGATTTAGCTGGGAAATTTTTCGCGCTAGATTTAACGGGGAAATTTTCTCCGCTAGATTTAGCGGGAATATTTTTCCGCTAGATTTAGCTGGAAAATTTTTCCGCTAGATTTAGCGGGGATATTTTTCCGCTAGATTTAGCTGGGAAATATTTCCGCTAGATTTAGCGGGAAAATTTCTCCGCCATATTTAGTGGGAAAATTTCTCCACTAGATTTAGCGGGAAAATTTTTCCGCTAGATTTAGCGGGGAAGTTTACCCATAATGCACCGCGTCGTTACGCCGACGGCGACGGCGACGCCGCTCAAGCCGGAAACGGGCGCCTAAGAGCTGCGCTCTAAAAAGAAAGAGGTGTGCTCCCTGTCATGTAACTGCAACAGAAATAGTTCAAGCAGAAGTCTACTGGACGCGAAAGGCACAGATAGAGGAATTTCAGGCAAAGGTTGCAGCACTAAAATTAGGAGAGAATATACCTTTCTTTTTTACATTATTGCGAGCCTGACCCCATTTCGCAATCATCACAGAATTCTACGCGTTAAAGGTCGCTTACAGCAACTGGACGTTCCGGACGATGTAAAACACGAAATTATACTACCGAGGAACCATTGGTTAACAGAGTTACCTATAATAGCTGCGCACATCAGACTCCTTCGTAGAGGAGTCCAGGATAAACCGAGATAAACTGCGACATAGATTTTGGATTTAAGGGGTCGTCATACAATGAAGAGAGCTATGAAAACTTGCCTTCCGTGTCGACTCACACCGGAGAAAGAACATATGACTTCCACCACGATAACGCATAACAGAAAGACGTCCATTTGATATCATGGGCATCGACTTCTGCAGACAACTCTACGTGCGCTCTGCCTCTCCAGAAAAGGCCTAAATTATTTTTGCTTGCGCTGCTACATGGGCATATCTAGAACTTGTTCCTGAGATGTCAGCGACAAGCTTTCTTCTGGCCTTCC